TCTTCTCCACACCCTAACCCTCCCCCGAGGAGGTGGCTCGGCCTCTGTTCCTGGTGCCACTGGCACTATCGAGAGAACGGGAGAGAAGGCTCAAGAAAAGAAAGGGGCCCATCTCTTCACGGGGTGCCCAAAGGGCTGGAGGTGGGAGCAGCTCAGAGAAGAGCAGGGTTGATTGCCTACTGCCTGTATTACAAGAACTCAAGTTAATAGGGAGCAGGTTTTAAAATAAATCCCCCGGAAACATTTCTTCACGCAAAGCCCAGCCAACCTGTGGAACTCCTTGCCGAGGGACGTCAGGAAGGCCCAAATTAATAGGGGTCAACAAAGAATGAGAGAAACGCAAGGACAGGCCCATCAATGGCTATTAGCCAAGATGGTCAGGGATGCGGCCCTGGGCTCGAAGCGTCCCTAGCCAGGGACTGCCGGAAGCAGGCATCAGGGAGTGGATCACTTGATGGTTACCTGCTTCCGCTGTTGGAAGACAGGACTTGGGGCTAGATGGGCCTTTGCACTCGGTAAGGATAAGGCCTTTTTCTGCAGTAGTATTGGAAGGCCTGAAGCCTAAGGCAGTGGTGGGTAACCTGCGGCCCATCCAGGTTCTCTGTGCGGCCTGCAAGACACTAGCCCATGCGCAGGGTTGCCAGATTCTGCTGGTTTCTGCCCATGTGGGCTTTTTGCTCCGGGTGACAAGCACGTACAGCCAGGACAGGTGTGGCGAGGTGCGCGCTGGCTGCACACAACACTGCCCATGAGAGCCGCACGCTCCCCCTGCAGCCAGTCCCGGCACCGCTGTGTTCTAGGTACACAAGCACAGCTAGCAAAGGACCCTGTCCTGGGCCATCGTCCTGGTTACCACAAGCTTGCGGCCCCCTGAGATGATGCTCACTGGCCTCGGCTGCCCATCGCTCTTCGCCCGCGGCCAGATTAAAAGAGCAGCCGCCAGTCGCTTAAAAGCAGGAAGTCATCCCCACACTCCATGTAAATGACATTAAACTAGCATCATAGCAGGCTGCTGAGGAGACCCTGCGTTAACGGCCCCCAGTATCAGCAAAGATGATGGGCTGTGCCCACAGAAGCTCACGCTACTCTCTCTATTTTGTTGTTAGCCTCTAAGGTGCCCCAGGACTGCTCATAGATCTGGAGATGGTTAAACAAAACGTTGCTTGATAGCATCCCGTCTGGCAAGAGCTGGGCTTGTGAAACCCTCGTTTCTTTACTGTTGGATCATTACGGTCCCCGCCTTCCTATTGTTTGTCTGCATGATCCCAGTCTGGTTCTTTCATTGGGTCTGTCTGCTGCATAATTAATTTTGCTCGGTGTAAATCGATTAGGGCGGTGGGGTAGGGTTGGGTAGGTAATTCTGTTGTGGTATGTTAGGATTGGGTAGTAACAGTTCAGTAAAATAATTGGTTATGGTAGAGCAAAGCAGGACTCGGCAGACAGGATACTGGTCTTACGTTCACTATACGAACTGGGGCCCAAAAGAAAGTTCTTTGGGAAGCTACTTCAGACTCCAAGAACACCCCCCAGCGACCACAAAGTCAGGCAAGGATGGAAGGCGCCCGGCCAGGTGTATTGTCAAAGGAAGTACAGTCATAGTTGGCAGTAGACTCTACGCCTGTGTGCCCCCCAGGAATGCACCAGCTGAGTCAGTGGGAAGTGCCACTGCCCCCTAAGCTGGACAACAGCCCCTTCAAGACACCATTTTATAGGCAAGTACAAATTACACCTCACTCCTGACACGTCAGGTCACCACCCTCTGGCGTTACTTAGATACCACCCATCATCCTGCCCCTGGTGATTTCATCCAAGTGTCTCTATCACGCTGTCTTAGACTCTTTCCTGAACTCGGGTCAGGGTGACCCCGTTATCAGTGGGGAGTGTTGGCCCCCAGGCTCTTAACAAGCTAGTGGTACCACCCTCCTAGAACTTTCAACCTATGCCCGGTACCAATTACTGTTTCACAGCCGGTACCTGGTACCAGTCACAGGTCTACACCTGGGCCTGCTGCCAATTAGTGTTTTACACTCTCAGCCCTGTTTGTGCCAAGTTCCGTGGGCAGTGGCCTGCCGCTTGCTTTATCTTAGCCAAGTGGGGTCCCACGTTAGCCAGGCCTGTGACGCAGGGACTTCTTTTCCAGGCCCCCCTCTTACTCCACCTACCACCGCAGAGCTTCCCCTGTGGTTGGCACAGCTGCCTTCAAATGGAGTCAGGAGCCGATGCGCAGGCAGGCCGCTGTCTCGTTTCCATGCTGATGGTTTCAAGCAAGCTTCCAACCAGCTTTGTAGCCTCCCTCTTCCACCGATGGAAGATACCTGGGTCTGGCTTTGGCAGGCAGCCTGCACTAGCTAGGGCAAGAAGCTACTTAAATAGGATGCACATGAGTCATCCCGCCCCAGGGCAAGCGAGCCTGGCCCAGCCCAAACATTCATTGAAAATAGGTGCCTGACTTGCTGCAAAGCCTCCAGGGGCCTGTTCTCCTGCACTTGGCTGTTGCCTGTTATTTCTGAACACAAACCAGGAGGGATGGCTGCCTTCAAGACACTAGCTAGGGCAAGAAGCTACTTAAATAGGATGCACATGAGTCATCCCGCCCCAGGGCAAGCGAGCCTGGCCCAGCCCAAACATTCATTGAAAATAGGTGCCTGACTTGCTGCAAAGCCTCCAGGGGCCTGTTCTCCTGCACTTGGCTGTTGCCTGTTATTTCTGAACACAAACCAGGAGGGATGGCTGCCTTCAAGACCTTGCGCGTAGGCAACCCGATTCCATCCCTCCGGAGCACGGATTGCTCACACGACATGGGGATGCGCTCCACCTGCCTCTGGCCTTCGCACCGCCAGTGACTAAGCTTCACCACTCAAAGCACAGCATGAAGCTGCTAAGGAGTGGCAGAAAACTCTTGGGGGGGGGGGGGGGAAGAGAGGAGAGAAGAGAAGAGATTACATACAATTTTAACCAGGAACTTGATCCTGCCCGTGGGTGGTGGGTGTGAGGCAAGGGAAGGCCCACACCATCCTTAGTCCTGTGCAGCAGCCCCACTAAGAACTGGTCCTACCTGTGCCCCAGCCTAATCCTCGGCACCGTAGCTGTCAGGTCCATCCACCCCTCCCCCCACTAGAAACATGCAATGGCCATGGAACTACGCACAGGGCAGAAACATGGATCAGCCTGTTCACACCCCTGGAGGGGCCCTGCCTTCCCCACCCCAACGCCCAGCTAGAGTCTGCCCACTTCTCTGGAGAGAAGGAATAGAATCTAGTGGGGCTAGAGCTGCAAAAAGGATCCACAGGTAAGTGCAGCTGTGAGGTGGGTACCTGCCAACTCTCAGGGTTCTTGGCACAAGGCGTGTGTAGTCAAAAGGGAGCCACAGATGCCTGAAGCCACCTGCAATGCCCCACAACACACAGGGCTTTGAGGAGCCGAGTGGGATTTCAGACACTCCAGTCAGGCACTGGGGCAGGGGAGTGAAAGCCAGAAATGAAATGTACCATAGCTCCACCAACCATGTCACTTCCTCTAAGTGTGGTGCCAGGCTGGGTCAGCTTCAACTCCCCTTTCTCCCTTGACATTTACCACAGGGAGGGAGGCACCTGCTCCTCTCCACTGTCTCCAGTCTTGGGCTGGTTTTGCTTAGTGGATTGAACCTCCCAGTGTGTGAAGGGCTGGTGACAGGCGCCGACACTCCCTGCAGCATTAGCACACGCAGGAAGTGATCCCACTATCCACAGCAGTGTAAGGTTCCCCCAGATGCTCAGCACTAGCAGGTGAGCTGAGAACACCTGGCAGGAATCACAGCAGGGCAGCCTTGTCAGGACACCAAAAGCCAAGTAGGGGGACACAGCCCTTTCAGCCTCACAGGTTCTGAGGGTTCCCCCTTCTTGCATTAATTGTGGGGTTTGTTCTCCAGATGGGGAGCAGGAGGCAGCAGTGTGCTGTGCCCACAAAAGCTCACACTACTTTGTACATCTGAAGGGCTACAGGACCACTCTGGCAGGAACGGCATTTATAGGACTGTCAGCCAGCCATCCTATTGCTGCCCCAGAGAAAGGGCTCAGGAATTCCCAATCCCAGCTGTTGGGACTTTCTTGAATGGGTTTTGCAAGCTGGGGAGTTTGGCCACAGCTGCTCAGCTCTGTAGACCAGCACGTTGTGCCAGAATCATGCATGACATGCCACATGCTGGGGGAGGTGTGTGGGGGGGGAAGGGCAGAGAAGAAAGCCAGGCTCTTGCCCAGCTAAGCACATGGCTACCTTCCAGCTCTCCAGGCCTAGGAAGACCACTTTGCACTACCCCTGGTAATTCTGGTGGAACTGCAGGCCTGCTTTGCCACATCCCATGCAGTCTAAGACTGGCCTTGGTGTCCTGCCCCTTTAACAGCCCTTGGGACCAGGCTGCTTGTGGGTATGTAGCCTCTAGGACACCAAGAGCCTCAAAAGCTAACTGCAGTGACTCTAGTCTGGAGCAATGGCTCTGAAGCAAGGTTAACAGCACAGGGTGAAGCCCCACAACAGCTCTGAAACTACAGAGTTTGGTCTCCCCCAAAGTGGCTACACCACTCTTTTCCCTATGGCAAGACACTACCATTCCTCTGCAGCTCTGCCATTTGTGCAGGCTTTCTGCACGGCTCCATGGAGCCAGGCAGCCTGGGGATGGGAAGGGCCAGCTGTAAGAGGGGGACCAGTAGCTACAGCTACACAGCAGGGCACAGCTAGGAGGAGAGCAGTTCCTGGCTAGAAGGATCTGCCAGTGGCCCAGAGGCCAAGGCTTTGGGCAGAAGATGCAAGCCAACACTGAGACAGATGGACAAGAGCTGCAAGTGTTTGGATGGCAAGGGGAAGTATTTCATGGCAGTAACGGGGGAATTTGGAGCCCTTATGGCACATGGTGGCTGTGCTTTAGGCAAAGCCAGCTGCTATAGTGTGCTTTAGGTGAATTGAGTCAATACTGAGCCCCAGTAGCTTAGCAATAAAAATCTTCAGAAAGATGGTCACACAGCAGGGAAGCTTTCACGTTTTAAGTTTATTGAAGGAGACAGTAGGTAACTCAGGGACAAGCCAAACCACACCACACATCTCAAAGTCAAATTTCAGTACCAGTGCAAGACCGAATGAACAGAAACTGTAGGGATGAGCTATGGCTCATCTAGCTACAGGACAGCTGTCAAGCATACGTTTACAGAATTGAATTCAAGATGCATGCAGGAGCCATGACAACTTCCAACCACAACATCTATGTACTTGTCTAAATCTGATCATGGTAAGAAATGGCACAAGGGGAACCTACTGCAAGGATGCTGCTGATGCCAGGAGACAATTTACACATCTTCTATTATGGCCTCCTGTGCTTTAGCCTCAGTGTTCTCATCCTTGAGCAATGAGGGGCCATGAGACAGGCCCTGGTTTAAGTTCTCTCCAGACTGAGGCAGCACAGGAACTAGGAGTTTAAAGACAGGTAGTGGGCCAGAGGTCTCAGACCAGTGCCCTGTTGTAACTTGTCCTGCCCCATGTTTTAATAGGATGTGGTTTTGGCCACAGGTAGACAGCAGCCCTTAATGGGTCTGGATGCAGACCCCTGAAGCCAGCACCATGCATTTCGGTTCAAGCCTGTGTCAACTCCTTTGAATCCAAGATTGAAACAGCCTTACTATCATTTAACAGTCAGATCCAGCAGTCACACTAGATTACAGCACAGTTAAGCCTACAGAATGGCGAGACGTTTAAGGAAGGGCACAGACTAGCATGCGCATCTGCAACACAGGAAGGTGGAAACGTGACTGTAGGAGTTTGAGGAGACGTTAGATACTAACCATCAAGCTCAGTGATGTCATTGCATGATAAGCGTAAGAAAATTATGGGAAACACTGTTCCCGATAATTATACACCCTTAGTGCAACATATGGAGATCACTGTCTCCGATATAACACCTTGGTAGGCAAAAACTACCTTGTTCTGTAGACATTATGGAAGACACTGCTCCCGATAATGAGTTAGGTTCTCATGATACATAAGGAACTGGAAATTTTGTAGCAAACTGCCATGTGATTCAACTGCCACTTCATCTTAGCCAGGCAAGCATTGGTGCGCAACACCCTTGGCTCCACATGGGTGGTGCCAGGGCTGTGGTTAGACCAATGAATGCATCCGACAAGGTTCTGCCAAGCTCAGAGGTGCTTTCCTTGCCACAGCAAATCAAGGCCTGAAGCAGGTTCTGGAGCTGCACAATGACAGGTATCAACTCAAGCAAGGGGAAGACAGAGCCCGATCTCAGGGCGAGGCAGTAAGACCGGGGGAAGCTTAATTTCAGTTTAATTGTTTGCATTTAAGAATTTTGGAGTTTCCAGGAGTCACTTGAATCTCCCACTGAAAGCGCCAATTTCTAGACACATTGAGATCTTGATTTGCATGTCTAGAAGGCATGCACTGCTGAACTGGCAATTAAGTAGATTTCAGTTTCATGGGCCTTTGCTTGGTTTTACAGTTGAATGCAAAATTCCAGTATCATGTTTGATTGTAATAGCAGATGCTGCTTTTATTCAAAACGACAGTATAACTGTCATAATTATGGAAGACACTGCTTCCGATAATTATCTTCTATAAAAAAACACCATTTATAGTGAACTCTGTCACTGATAAATAAATAAATAACTCCGTGCCAAGTGAAGGCCTTCCTGCAAGTTCTCCAATTTACTTGCCTAAACAAAAGCCTGGGCAGCAAGAGACTGCTGATTTCAGGAAAGGCCTCACAGCAACATGGTCTGAAGTGTCAGCTATATCCAGCCAGAGTACTGGTTACCATGGGACTTGTGGCATGAAAGACTGAGCCAGGGTGCCAATGGGATGTACCTTAATCTTTGAATTTCACCTCCGTGTGATGCAAGATTTAAGGGGAGGAGTTAATCTTCAAGTCAGAGTGCCTGGGAAACCAGGCTGTTCATTCACATGGTAACTCAATGTTGCTAGACACTTCAGAACTTGCTGACTTCAGCAGCTAAGGGCTACTACTGTGTGGGGGAAAAGAAAGTTTTACTTGATCAAGGCATCTTCACTGCTCCAGGAGGGAGACTGGAAGCACTTAATTCCCCCCCAAAGGGTTACAAAAGTGAGCTGCCTTTACCAAGCCTGGAACTCAAAAGGAGAAGCCAACATGGTCTACCTCTGGTGTTTTAAAGAGGTACCTCCTCACTAAAAGAGTTCTGGGTTTAGTTCAGCATTTACATTTGGGTAGACTATGGCTTAGGACAGACCAATTAGTTTGTTCTCAAGTGCAATACATTTAGCACTGCAAGCAGCTGGGTTTCAGTGAGATCGTAGTAAAGTTAGAGGAACCTCTTTGAGGGATATGCAGGTTTAGTGGGTACAGACTGAAATCCCTGCTTAAATAGCTGCTTGTGACATTCCCCTATCAAAAGCCAATTTCAAGCTACTGATCAAGACATGTTTCCAAAGATCCCATCAATAGATTTAGTGTAATTTGATTGAGGGACAGTGGGGTTCCCTGTACCTCACGTTAAGTTATAGATTTAAAATTCATTATCTATGTTCCAAATGTCACCAGATAAGGCATTAGCAGCACCCTGGATAGTCCAGGTTGCCAGTGCCAGTTGGTTCTTCAGCAAGTCTGCGTTAAAGGCACTTGGATTGCTTCTCCGGAGGCTCAAGTGATCCAGCAAAGCTGACAGCGTGTAGGAACTGGAACCGAAGATGATGTGACGCAGAGGAGTATCCTTCGGGGATGCATATGGAGAAAGGAAGTTGTATTCCACCTGAAGGAGACAGTAAGATTCAGAATTGCACTTCACATCTGCAAGAATTCAGTCCAATATCCAAGAACTGAAAGTTAAGGGGCCAAAAGCTTGGGATTTAGGAGCTGGAAGATTCAGGAAGAGTTTCAACATCCTTGCATAATGGCTTTAACATGTGGCAGAACAGCCACTCAAGGTTAACTAGCAACACCTAGACTTGTTGCTAGGGAGAAGAAGTTAAGAATGTACTAGGGGACCTTACCAGGGCAACCACATTTCTGCCTCTTAAGGAAGTGTTGCTGCTGGTATTAGAGGACAAGAACTAGACCACCACAGTAACCAAGAAGGAGTCCAGGAAACTTCTGACTTCAAATATATAACAATCCTTCATGAAAGGCTCATTCCATTTGATATTAGACCTTGTGGTTTGAGTGGAAACAACTGTTAGCCAAGAATACATACTTTCATGACCCGATCATTCATCTGGCGGCAGATGAGCTTGTTGTTCAGGTCAGTGTTTCTGAAGTCCTCTCTCAGTGCTGCTGTAGCTCGACTGAAGTCTCCACGGGCAGAATACAGCCACTGAAGTGTCAGATTCATTGCCTGGTGGAAAGAAGAGTCATTACACACTGGTTTATAGGACATTGGGTCAGGAATTTGAGCTGTCAAGCCTTAGTTTGACTATACTCTAGTTTAGAGCAGCACAGCTGCTTCATGAAAGCCTCTAGGGCAGTCACTAAAAGCCAAGTGACAAGTGCAGCCCAGCTGGCAGCAGTGACTAGGTCTCAGAAGAAGCTCTCCTGCACCAACACAATCCTTGGACACAGTAGGTGCAACTTGCACAGGAGGGAATCTGGTCTCCAAGACATGTTGAGCCATGTCAGTGAGAGCAAGTTACTGGTTGCTCATGTGTATCCTGAGCAGCTATGCCCTTGAGACTCAGAGCACATCCACATGCCAGTCTGGGCATATGAACATGCCTCACTAATGCTATTGGGTTAGGCTGCTATTTGATGTCCTCTTCCATATGCAGGGAGAATGGAAAATGGAGATTTAGCAGTCGAATACACATCCTCACTTGTAGCTAACAGCACCCCTGTCCAGTGGGCAGTTGGCTCATTTTGCCAATTGCTATGCTGGGGCTCTTGTTGGCAGTGCCAGTGCAACCCAGGCATTGAAGGGATTAGAGAGCCAGGAGTAAGGCACTGGCAGATGTGTTCAGGGGTAATAGTCTTACATAACCTGCAATTAGTTCAACTAAGAAACTTACTTTTATATCCTGTTTGTACTGACTAATCTTCATAATGAAGTTGATCAGTTCCTGGTTGTATTGCTCATAATCCAGGTAAAGTTCGTGACTATATGTCATCCTAATAGCCATCTGGCCAGCCACTTCTGTAGCTGTCTGAAGAACGTCTTCCAGATTAGTTACAGCGGAGCCAAGGTTCTCCCAGCTGTCCATCTTGGTGCCCAAGTAAGGATACCCTTCATCATCCTGCAAGAGAAAGCATTTGCACGTCAAGCTCCTCTGGCCATGTGTTTCTCACTGGCTGCTCTGCAGTCCTTCTCTTCCCTCCCACACTGATGTGTATGGCACCTCTGCTATGTACTCCTGCCCTAGGGAAGGCCAAGCTGCATTGCAACTTTAACAAGTTCAGATCTCCTGATGTTAGCCCCTGGCAGAAAGCCATCAAGGGCTGTGAATGCAATTTCCACATGCAGGTACCTGCTGATGTTTGCCCAGTCAGTCACTTAAATATCATGAGTTCCTGCAAACACTTGAGCCTGCAGTTTGAAGCATTAATGAAAGTGGCAAGTTGAGGAAGTTTAACTCCTCAGCTGTTAAGTGTCAAATTTGACTTCTTACTCAGGCACACCTAGTCAGACATGTCTAGTACATGGTAGCTAATTCTTGCATTACATTCTATTTTACAGAAAGAAGGAGATGTCAGAATTCCTATCTACACAGAAGTCAAGCTCCATTCAAGAGAAGCTTGGTACAGGTTAGTTTAGCAACACAATATAGGACTTCTCTATATACAAAGTGGATTAAAAGCAGGGTCTAGAACAAGGAAGCTGTAGAACTGTTTAACACTAAATCATGAATTAGTGTGACCCAAAGGCTGAAGGCATACATTCAAGTTGACTAGTTGAGCAACTTTGGGGCAGGGGAGAAAGTGAGCCATAGACATCTGGAAGTAGCTGATCTACCGCCACAACACCCGGGTGCTTGTAACAGTCTGATCTTGCTTTCCACTGAGGAATAGCTGGGAAGCCTCTCATACAAGAGATTGCATTCACTGGCTAGGAGAGGGCCCATCCAGGCCTAGGGAAGGTCTAACCCTCCAGCTATGCTGCCCTAAGGTTAAGTAGATCTACTGTAGAGTACAGCTTCTGTGTCAGTCCAGGAAGTGTCAAGAATCCACTGTTGCTCCCAGAGCTGAAGGTGTTGACAAGGATCAACTTTTGGCACTGGCAGATTCCAATCCACTGTGATGATAAACTCTAGCTGCAAGTCATTAGCACATGTCTGACTTGGTTTTGTCAGTGTAGTTTGAGTTCTTCCAACTAGCTAAGTTGAGTCAGATTTAGATGCCTTTGTGGGAGCAAAGGTATCCCAAGCTTCCTTGCTAACAGTAAATGTAAGTTGAAATAGAAATGTAAACACATTTGGCACAAGTCCAAGTTTACAAGCAGAGTACAAAGTGACTTACATCATAGAAACTGAATGAAATGGCTGGGATTCCTGCATATGCTAGGAAAGGGAAGGCTGCATTATCCATGGACAGTGGAACGCTGCAATGAGAAACATTGGTCTTGTTACTCAGAATTGTATGTTACCAGTCTGTTTCAAGTAACAGAAAGAGCTAGAGATGAAGCCCAGCCAATTATCTCAATTAACAGGCACAGTGGAAGTGGAGCACTAGCAACCCTGTTTCTGCAGTCCCACCAACACAAGCATCTCCTCCAAAATTGTTCTTGGAAAACCACACCAAGTAGTGTGCTAAGTTACTGTGCCATTGGCATGACAAGTCATAATGAGTAGGAGGGGCTCAGTAATTGGGAGAGTAGCAATAAGTCTAGGGTTAGTGCCTTCTCCATTGCTTTATTCCCATATGGGGGATTGGAGAGAGGTCAGAAGGAAGGTAAGATTAGCTTTTATAAAGCTTGTGTGGAGCAACAATGTTATCGTGAAAGAGACTTACACTTCTTTGGTCCAGTCAGAACCTCTGGTGGGCGGTCTGTTCTTCTTTACTGGAGGCTTCACCTGCAAAAAGGTGCAGAGTAAAGTTACTGTCCAAGAACTCTTGTATATATGGAGCATGGTTCAGACTAGAACTCACCTCCATCATAGTCTGCTCCACTACTTTGTACAGCATTGGGCTGGCAGAAACTTTGAATTTGCTTGAGCCTAGAAGGACAAGTTAGACATTTAGAACATATTGCCAATACTGTATTGAGTTATTGTACTTGAGGTGCATTGTGGTTTCTCTTTAGTACCATTTCTATTGTCAGCTGTTTAAGAGTTTCTGATCTAAGGACACTATATGGAGTACATAAGTAGAACCCTGCAAAAGTCTGTGGATAGTTGCAGCTCTTATTTGCTGCTACAGACAGTTTCTTCCCGGGGCACTATACATGAGCATTAACCCAATCAGCCAGTGTACCTGCTATTCTAGTTACTTGGCACCGGGGGCTGAGTTTTAGCTCTCAGTGTTAAAGCTTCACTTTGGCAGTGTGACAGCTTGCTAAGTTCACCCTGTTCTGAACCATTTTAAAATTTTAGAGTTTTGTAGAGTTGAAGAGCATCAGTTACCTAGAACTGCAGCATCCAGGTTGATGTAGGCAAAGGCTTTGGAATGCAGTGTGGCAGAATAACCCTACAATTGGAGACAAGACTGCCTGTTAGTGGGGAGTCACTAAAAGCATTGCCTTGCAGTACAGTTCAGGACAGGAAAGGTGAAAGGCAATAAGCAAATCAAGATTTGTTACCTCCAGCCATTCAGTGGCACCAACAGCTCCAAATTCTCCAGCACTCCAGCTGGCAAAGACAATACTTCTTTTTGGTTTATAGCCACCTTTAAATAGAGAAGAGTTGAGGTCTTGGTCCCCCATCATATTAACAGAACAAGGGAGATGCAGAACAGTTGGTGGCATACTTGTAATAGAGCCTGATACCAGAGAGCAGGACTGCAGGCCTTTAGGGGGAACTGCAGATTTATGCCCAACAGGCATGGCTACCTTTGAAAGAGCAGCTTAAATGGGCTGCAGTCTGGAAGATGGCGGATAATTCAAGGAACAAAAATAAGGCTGTATTTTTCCCCTGGTTCTTTAAATGCATAAGTCTGAGTGCCCCAAGTTTAGCCAAATGGCTGTTGGTTAAAGCCACTTTGGCTTAATTTTACCAGGGTTATTCACAGATGTTGGCTCTGAGTTCTCTTCTCCCCCAGTCTGTCAATCAGTACCCCAGAAGGCTTGATGCTCGACTAAGGAGAACCCACCACCAAGCAGATCAAAGGCCAGAAGGAACTATTGTGATGACCTAGTGTGACTTCTCTGCAACAGGACAGACATTTCCATCAAGGGCATTTTAAAGGATGTTCTAATTAAAGAACATCCAGTCTTGGTTTTCCAAGTAGTGACTGACAAGTTCACCAAGGATCAAGATAGTCTGTCACCTTTTACTGACACAGCTGTGCCTTTTCCCTTACCTCATGGCTAGTAGTGCCATGCACACATGGCATGTGTCAAATAGCCAGTGACTGCTAATGCTATTTGCAAGACTTTTCAAATGTACAAAGTGTATGGCACCTAGTGCAAGGGCACTCTGGCACTACAAGTAGCTAGCAGTCCTAGGAGAAGAGGCATGCTTTACTATATGCTCCTATTATGGAGAGTTTCACTTGCAGGTAAGCTTTGGAAGAGCCTAAACTAGTATAGACTTGCCCTTAGTCAAAGCCAGAAGGTTAGCTCAAGGTATACAACTCCAAGTATGTTAGTGTAGCTGGAGCAGGTGTAGCTTAAGTGAAGTTTTGGGGCCACCCTCACAATGGGAGGTTGGTGGGAGAACAGGGATGACCTCAATGTTTGACTTAAGTCTTGGGTCTAGCTTCTGGTTTTTAATTGAAAGGGTCAAAGCAGTGGCAAAGACAAGCCCTAAGTGAATCACTGAATTCTACCTTCTCCCCCCTCCATCACTGCCACCCCTGACAGGATGAAGCGGTTTCATAGATTGGCTTCACTTCACCCCAGAGCTCCCATTCAAGTTGCCAAATGCCACTTGAATCCAGTTGTGGCACAGCCCACAGTGGAGAGACAACTTAGATGCTGAACTGAAGGTAGAGTCCCTGTAGCAGCTTATTGGTTAACACTATTACCCCAACTGCTAGGGCTTGGTTCAGATTGCCTGCTGCTGTAAGAAATGCAAGCCACACTTGGTTCCATGGCTTTCTGTACCTGTTTTCACCATAGACGAGATGGCACGGGCAAGCTCCAGCAGCATAGTTGTTCCTACCCCAGCCTTTGCTGCTCCAGGACCCCATGAGTCTCTCTGGGCTCCAATCACAACATACCGATCTGTAAGAGGGCAAGAGCAATGAGATCCAAAATACAAGCTGCATCTGCAAGGCAGTTCTACTCTTTAGTTTTCCACAGAAAAATCAGGAAAGCTGCATGCAACAGTTAGGGAAGATCTGAGTTTCCAGAAGGGCTTTCAGCAGCTCAGCATTAGTCTCAAGAACCACCTAGTCTTTTGGTCAAGTCTGAAACGCAGTTCAATTAAGTGCCAAGTGTACAAATAAAGGAAAGCTGTAAGTTACTTGTAGCAGGCTGCAAGTCACTTCCCCATCTATGTATGCCAATTTAGTCCAGCAAGTGCTTTGGCACAAGCAGTCTTGTATTTACAGTGCTGAATGAGGGCTGCTCAAAATCTGATGGGGGTCTCTACAGGTCTGGTAGACTTATTCCTAGTGCAGACTTGTTAACATGACTAAGCCATAAAAAATATGCCTTTAGTTGGTCTATACATGGTGGCTCCAAAGGAACAACTTTAGCCAGACTTATTAGGTGCAAGATACTTTGCCAGGGAATTTTGGAAGAGTCACTAAAAGGCAGGTCAGTTTAGTCAGTAGCCTGCCTAGACCCCATGAGTGGTTACATTTATCCTTTGGTACATCTTTCCTATAATAGTCATAAGCATTGCCTGTAGTCAGGTGAGAGGACTTAAACTATGTAAGTAGTCAAGTTTAATCCAGGACTCTCCTCCCCCCCCCCCCCAGTCCATTCTAGTTACATATTAAACAAGCTTTTAAGCACAGCCAGCCTATTCAACATCTTAGTAAAGCTTTACCTGGTTCATCAAAACCTTGGATAACACCAAAGATGTTATAAATTCTTCTCTCTACCATTTGATTGTTTACTTCAAGTGTCACTGTAGTTTCATCAGAGGTCATTTTGTTAATGAAGACCCTACTCTTCCACTCCTCAGGGGGATCTTCATTCATTTTGCTGAAAAATATGGTATTGAAATAGACAGTTTTCACCTGCAGAAATACTTTGAATGAGATGTCTATGGAGTTGTTGCATGGTTAGTTTCTGACTAACCTTTTCACTGGGTGGGAATTAGTGGCAAGACTGGCTGATTTTGGCCAACAGCATGCCACACTAAGAGTACAATGTACTGGGGTAACAGGGAATTCTGAACCGGAGGTGAAGATTGCAGTATGCTTTATGCCACTGTTTAAATGGCACTTTAAAGTAATGCTACAAGTTGTTTATATGATTAGAAACCCATTTGTGAAGTCAAGAGCTTGGGGAATCCTCTTGACAAATACAATCAATACACAGGACAGAAGAGCTCTTGCCTACAAGTATTTGCAGCACTCACATGGATTACTCACTTGTTACTAATAGTCACTATTACAATATCTGGAGACATTTACCTGAACAAGGATTCCACAGCAGCACTAGTGATAGTTTGAACAGGTATTTGTGGGAGTCCAGAAGACTTAGCTGGCGGGAACTGTGTGTGGTTGAATGATGGGAAGCCAGGGGTGAAGGGGTCACCTGTTCCTAGATGAGCCTGTCAAGGAAGGATGCAAGATTGACCTAAATGAGGTACTAGATGTCTAAAAGCAGTGGTTCCCAACCTTAAGGCTGCTGGGCACCTGGGGTGGGGGGCCACCCATACACTGGGCACCCAGGGTACAAGAATGGCTCGGGCTGGCCCTGGTCACTAGGTGAGTGCACATAAATGCCCTGGTGGGTGTCATGGTGCCCCATAGGCACGGTGTTGTTGAACCCTTTTAGACAGTGGTCCCCAAGAGGTTATTTGCAAAGCTACAACTGCTTTAAATCGATGTGGTCCTGTAGCAATGGACCATTATGGTCAAGTTCACATAATGGAGAATTATGCATAGAGTATTTAGACAAGCATGCTATGCAGTCTCCCCCTAACTTCCTGGGGGGAGCCAACCAAGATTCACCAGTAGTACTTACATGTCCAAAGAGACCTTCCTTAGTGGATTGAGAACCAGCAGGCTCACAGTATATCAAGACACCTACTGCATTCAAGCCTTCAGCATTAGCCACCTGGAAGAGGATGAATTTAATAAGCTGAAGAGTCCCTGCTACGTTACATATTTGAGTGCTTTAAACTTATTCTTTAGGCTTGAGTTGTGCATGTGATCATACTAGCATATCCCCTACAGGACAGGGACAGCACAGATTTCTAGAGATGAAACAAGGTTGTCTAAAATAGGGCCCTGTGCTTCACTTATTGGAACATGTGCTGGTGTTATATGAAGTTCTTGTGTCCAAGCCACTTGACTTAGAATTGGATTCTATCCCTGCCTGTCAGTTTGATCACTTCACCAGTCTTCATAAGTGGTCACTCCATTTTCTGGGTGCCCATACCAACAGCCTTGTGGGGAATTTACAGGAGCACTATACAGATGAGTGCCATAGAAAAGCCCAGGCTACTCAGTGCTACTTTTAGAGCCAGGTTTGAATAGTAAGGTAACGGGTAACAGAATGAGCAGCTGTTCAATCATCTATCCACCCTGTAGACTCAGTGGGGCAGGGTCCTACTGACAAACAGCATATATTCTCATTATGGTTTACTTAAATGGGGCAGAGTTAAGGTTGCAAGGAGAGCCTTGGCATGCTTGAGGGGCAGACTTTTCTTAAGGCTGGGCCCATAGGTTTCCTCCACCTTGTCCTGCCACCTCCCCCCAGGCTCCTTATTCCATTACTTTCTCATCTAGCTAGGGCCAATGACCACTGCAGGCTTCTGGCCACCTGGTTCACTCAGCTGCCTCTGCCATGTAGATGAGACTTCTCCTGTGTGCTGCCTAGAAGCAGTATAGGGTGGGTGTCCTATGGAACAGTTTCTACTTTGTTCTGGGGCCTAAAGCAGCTCAGCTGCAGATTCTCTACTGGGCTATCAGCTGTAGAATCTTGCTTTAGAACATAGGAGAGTTCAAAAGACTGACTCATTTTCTACAGGGAATCAGAGGCACACTGGCCTTTGAGAAGCTCTAAGATCTGTACTTGGAGAAGGAACTTAGTAGCCTTTGGTCACTTTTCCATGGACTCAGTATCTCACCTAAAACTTCTGCCACAGACAGATGCCATTTAAGACACCTGGCATGGAAAGCAGATATTTGGGATAAGCCACTAGAGCAGCCTTTTGGGAGAGCACCTTTCCAGGGACAGGTAAGGCCAAGGGGTACCCCCTTGTCAGTTGCCCAGTTCTATTCCCTCAAAAGCATCTAGTATTGGCCTCTGTCAGAAGGCAGGCTATTGGGTTAGATGGACCACTGATCTGTCCAAGTATGGCTGTTCTTATCAGGAGTTTAATGGCAGTGCTATCACCCCCACCTAGAAGAACTGTAGTATTTAGTCACTGCACAGATGCTGAAGCTTGCAAGTCAAGATTGGAGTTCACTGTATTCTTGCTGTTTTCGTTTACTCCCTGCTATTCCTTTTGACTACAGGCCAGAGCAGCAGCATGAACTTTTGCTAGGCTCATTAACATGTTAAGGTATTCCCTTACCCCCACCAGACCAGGACAAAAGCAGACTACTGATCTGACTAACTTGAAGGGGAGTTTAATGCTACTATTCCAGGACTGCATTTTCTTAGTTGAGGTGCAATCCTAGATCACTATTCTGAATGAGCTAAGAGGGGTCACTTACCTTCTCAGCAAAAGTAATTTTTCCAGTTCTGACAAGAACTACAGATCCATTTACAGGGATTTTCAGATCCTTGAGCTTCTGGAAGTCCTCTGCCCGGCCGTAGTTAGCATAGACTGGCTTACCCTAGAACAGATGGAGTAGCTATAGCCATTACTGACAACTCATCTATGAAGCCATGGGGGGGGTCTGGACCACTTTAGATACATGAGCAATCTAAGTTCATGACAATGTCCCAGCTTCAGCCAAATCTTGGCTATTCAGTAGCTAGTTATAGCTTGAACATGGATTACAATTCCTACCAGCTGTTAGAGCCAGCTTTTCCTGGACAGATGTTGGGGGAATTTTATTCTGCAGCTTCATAGAAGACAAATAGTAATGGGCTTAATATGCAGCAACTGATTTGCCCTCAAGATCCCTTCCACATGGTCTTGAAGAGCTTTTGGATGGTCCTAGCCAGGAACCCCTAGGAAGTAAGCAGCCACCAGCTACTTCAGACCTTTGTGATGGGTGGAGATAGGAGTAGGAGTAGAATGATCTAAAAACCCACAAAGGGAGGTTTCAGGTCACTTACCTTGAGTGGGCAAGACAGTTTAGTCAAGTGTGTCTTATTGGCATGAAGAAAGCTGTTAATTGTACATGGCTGTTACTACATTTGAAATTGGGACCAGAATGGATTTGTTTTACTGGGGTGGATTGTATTAAGAGTTCAAGTCCTGACTTAGAGTTTATGGCCTGGAACATGAAGTGTTGAGGCCATGTCCTCAATGGACTGCCTCAAGGCAAGATCCTAGCTGTTGTAACAGGTGACTGATTCAGTCCATACCATATCCAGCTGCTTGGCTGAATGTGGCAGTCTTGTGCCTCGGTTGAAGCTAGACTCCTTAGGAAAATTAGTGAAGGGATTGAAGAGCCAACCATTAGACAAGTGATGTCAGTAACTGACATTTGCCCTTGCTAGAGACTGGCTTGTTTAAAGGAACACTAATTTTCTAAGACAGGGAACTTACTGTTGCTCTTCCAGTTGCACTATATGCCACGTATCCATCACCAGTTTCCAGTTTTTCACTACCACCCGAAGACTGAGCCACCACTTTGTTTGGCAAGCTATAGACAAGAACAAATGTTCAATGGTCAGTGCTTGACAGCCTGCAAATCTATTTGATTACTCATTGTAAAAAGGAGTCACCAGGGAAGTGATTTAGAAGTGATTGTATCTTCAAGCTAGTAGTCCAGTGTTGTTTACCCCCCCCCATATATGATGATCACTATGGGCATGTCTACACAGCAGCATTTTGTATTAACTGATATTCTGAAAGACTCCCAGAATCCTTATTTTACAAGGAGTAAGAAGTCTAAGGAAGAGTGTTTCCTTCCTTCTGTGTAGACTGCACCAAGAGCCAGATTAAGCTATTGATATAAGCTGAAGTTGCATAGCTATGTCAAATGCTACTTTAAGTTGACGTTTGCCCTGCAGTGACACATGCCGTATATGGCCAGTAAAGCTAGTTTCCGAAGCCAAGTTGAAGGCCTACACCTAGAACAGCAATGAGCTACTAGATAGTTTGGCATCATTAAACCTGAAGAGTGGTGACAGGCACTGGTATGCAAGCATTAGAGTGGAAAAGGTACTGGTATACTTGAACTTAGGCAAGTAGTACCCCATATGTGGGAGAAGTTAAAGAACATTGCTTTCCCAGCATTCTCCAGGTAGGTCCATCTTCCTACAAATGGAAGATTTGAGCTACAGGCAGGGGAATGCTAGAAGCTGATGGCATCTTGCAGGTCAAGACATTTATGGATGTAGCTACAGGGTTTGTCCCATAAAAGTGGAGCATTAACTGAGGGACAACTTCAGTGCCCAAGTTCAGTCTCTCCCTTTGATATAGAATAGTGAATTTCCTACAAGCTCAGTGCTAGAGCTTAGTACTGCAGTAGGTTTGTCACACTACCTAGCTAGTTGTGTAATGCAGGCTTTCAAAAATAGCTTTTGGGACTTAAGGGACCCAGTAGCAGCTGCTAAGGACACAAGTGAAGCCTTGAAAGTTCTTCTTTGATTTCTCTAACAAGGCTAGCTAGCCTGAGTTAGAGACCTCAAATACTTGCTCTAGCTAGAATTGAACCAGCTAGATCCATGCCTGAAAGAACAAAGCAATTCACTATCTTCAGTATGTTAATATACCTGCTGGGAACCTGCAGTTTCACATAGTGTTCATCATTCCAGACTTTATCCAGTTTGGCGTTAGTTAGCTGAACATGAATATCATTAGCAAGGCTGTCATCTCTTTCAGAGCCAGCTTCATAGGATAGCAGCTGCCTGGAAGGAAGAGAAAGGCACATCAGTTTAAAAGCCAGCTACCCTGCACAACATTAGCTTATAACAGCTACTTGCTTTTAACCTAGACCACTACCTCAGTTACAATTGACTGCAATAATCTTCAGCAATTTACCCCTTTATTTTACAGGAACAGGGATAAGGTTTGTTGCTTATTATGTCCATTTAGTTTAGCCGTTGAGGGTAAGAATGTTACCTTGTGTCTTTGTTCATGTTCACAGCTCTCAGCCTATTAAACAGCATTGTCCTCAGATCATTCCAGTAAGGAACTCGTTCAACCTCAGGCTCTACATACTCATCTTCCAGGGAAGGTGTAGTAGCAGCGTTTGCACATGCAATCCTTTCACCTGCACAAGTGCTTGTTGCCTGTATTCGCCCATGGTAACTCAAGTAGCCAATCAGAAACCCTAGGGAAGACAAATGACATGTGTTTGTGATAAACAAAAATGAGCCACCCTGTGTTAACCCAAGCATCAGGCTATTCCCACTATCCTATTCCCATGCAAGCTTGGGAAAGACGGTAGAGTCTGTAAGCAAGTTTTACCTTAAACCTGAATAGTGTTGAGAGAAATTATCTGCGTCTGATTTGAGTGCTTTACACTAAAACTAGTGACCCAGCACTAAAGCAGCAAATCCCCCTCTTCCTTAAGGCCAAGGGCATGTCCCCACTGCCAAGTGGACTGAGCTGTGGCAATTGATCCACTGGGGTTAGTTTAGTGAAGATCTACTAAAAACCAACTGCTGAACATGCTCTCATCAGCTCTGGTACTCCACTGGAAGGAGAAGCTTGGGGGGGGGGGGAATGCCTTCAGCAGCTGCCATTGACCCAGCAGAGACAAGATACTGCGAGTAGTCAACTCCAGCTACAGAATTCCATAGCTGAGTTGCGCAGTCTGGGCTGTGCAGTCTGGGCTAACTTTAGCCCATACAGTAGACCTGCCCTTACTCTGCCTCCAGCATTAAATACACCTACTATAGCTTTGGTCCTCTGTTAGGATAGCAGAGGAGGTTTACTAGTTACCTCATAGTACCATATTGTTTGCCCCCTTTTACTGTTTCTTAAACTGATCTGAACCACCAATGGTGGTTCCATTCAGGAGGCCTGGATAGTTCTCATGTGCAGCTACCCAGGTGCATGCTTAAGTGAGACCTGCCCTCCTAATTAGTGGCATGCATGTGTGGTTCCATTAATTAGGTATCTAGACACTCATGTCAGATGAGATGGTGACCATAGAAAAATAGGGGTAGTGGGGAATTTAGGACATGCTACTGTCTGCAGTGGAAAGAGCAAGGCAATTCTCCCCAGCTCCAGGGTTGCTGGTCCTGTGGAGATGCTGAGGCTGGGAAGGAGAGCAGTGTGGTTGCTGGTGCAGAGAAGCGGCCCTTGATTTAAAATTGAGTTGCTCTTTCTGCAAAAGACCATTTAAGGTGCAAGCAAATTTTGGAGATGATTAAGCCATCTGATCCCTTCAACAAACCTTTCACAGGCCACTTTATCTAAAGCACTGACCCACTACTTCATGAAGTACATGGATCCAGTAGCTCAATACTTAACATTTGCACAGAGTGTTTGAATCTGCCAGTCTGAGTGGGTAAAGCATGGTATTTACACTCAGCTCCTCGGGTCAGTTTGTAACTGCCACACTTCCTTTGGACCTGGAAGTATTCAGGCAGACAAAGCAGATACACTACTGACAAATGTAGACTAAGGGTAAGTTTAAATATTTGATATGGTAAGAAAACTGCTAATTTACATTGAAGATGGTTAAAAGCAGAACTTGACTTCTGCACAGCAAAGTTTCAAAGCTGAATTTACTCAGGTTCAGAAGTTTACAGTTAGCTCAGAGTGTGGTCTTCTAACTTAGAAGCTCACTTTCCCAAGGTGAAGGGAACACTTTATTGTACAATAGTATCTTGGGTAACTTTGTACAATTCCCTCCTCTGGCCCCCCAATCATCTTTGGGCTGTTCTTACCAATTAAGAAGAGGAGGCCTGTTGCAGCAGTCTTGCACCAGAGATTTCTCCTACTACTTCTGGGTTTTGCTACATGGGCATGAACATGGTCGGTCATTCCATTTTCTCCACCATCCTCCTCTTCAGACAGTTTCATTTCCACATGACTGTCTCCATCCATTTGACGTGTCAGACTGAAACGGGTGTATGACAGCGGCCCACTTCCAAACTAAACAAGAAAGTAGTCATGAGACCAAATTGCATTACTTGATAAGCATGTGGTGGGCTTTATGCAATATTACGATCTGGAAATTTTTTTCGTTCCTAAACCCAGGTAGAAGTTTCTATAAGGCCAATTGTTTTCACCACGGTCAGTGGGTATGTACTGATGTCTGGGATCACCACATTTCTAAATAGACAGACAGCAGAATTATATTTAGGTTTTATTAACAAGCATTTTAGTCCAAATTTTAAAGTTGCTTTTCTGTGGGGAAAAAAGAGTTCAGGGTTTTGATTTGGATGAAGTGCTAAGTAAAAGGCAGCTCAATGTTGCTTCAGGGCTTGGGCACTCACTTGCTCCAGAGGATGACAGGACCAGAATTCCTGTATTACTCACTTTAGATTAGCATGGTCCCTACAGACCATAGTCTGATCTCCTGCAGGTTGTAGGCCACAGAACCTCATAACAGACTTTTACCTTCTGGCTGAGTTTGCCATCTTCAAATCATGGTTTAGAGATTCCATTACAGAAAATTCACCACACTAATTTAAGCCTGCAAGCATCCCATGTTTCCGATATGACTCAGGGAAAATCCACCCCAATCAAAAATGTAGTAGTAAGACCGAGTGCTAGTGGGCAAGGCCAACTAAACTGTTTCTAGACAAACTGCCATCTGCAGTCTGATCCCTGCTAATCTAGTGTCCTGCCTCTAGCTGTTGGGGATTCTTGCTATTGCAGTCACTAATTGCCTACGATGGCCTGTGTAGCATCCCCTCCATAAGCTTAACCTCAGTCTTGAGACTGGTTAGGTTTGTGCCCTCCTGTCCCCTGCTTCTCTCGGAAGGCAGTTCCAAAAGTACACTCCTTTGATTTTGAAACAGTCACCCAATTTCAAGCCTAAAACTTGTCCCCATCCCAGGACAATCCCACTCCTTTATCAGCTCTGCTCTCACTGGCCTCTATGAACCAAATAAGAAAACAATGCCCACAAGACTCTCAGCTTCATGCCCCCAAGGATCAAAGAATATAAGAGCAATTCTCTAGTTTAATCAGTCATTCTAAATAGATGTCTTCTCAATGTGAAAGATAAGTGCCAACAAACATTGAGTCATAACATTCTCAACCTGGACTAAGGATAAGTTGAGACCAGGTTAACAATTTACAAGAAACCCTGCTGAATGTAGTCATGCTCTACTTAGATTACAAGTATTGCCAGCTTCCTAGTAGTTGGATACCTTTTAGTTCACCCTCATTAAAGCTAGGTCACTACTTGTGACAATACTCAGTCCTTTTTATTTTGAGGTGATAATTTGCTAGCTTTTTAGCCTTTGGAAGAGTTGACTCTGAAGGAGAGAAGTCTTGTGTTAAGGTCAGCTGTATTGCTGAGGCATCCAGCAGTGTCAGGAGTTGGTTGTCTATGCCATCACCTCTCAGATCAGTCTTAGACTTCCTACAAGTGTTTGCTCAGTGTTCTCATCTGTAACTTTTAGAAAACTGCTAATAGAGATCTGAGAGGTCACCCCATGGCCTCTGTCTGGGGTTCATTCTGACAGTCTAGTGAGGTCTTCTCTTGATTAAGAGATGCCCTTTCCTACAAAGGAGTCAGAGCTCAGGTTCTGCTAGTTCCAGGAATACTGGATACAGGCTTGGCCTACATGCTAGTGTCAGAATTGTATTGACCTAGGTCCCAAAGACACTTAAGGGAGGTTTAGGAGTGTCACCTGATTGAGACTAGGATCAGTTCTTCTGAGGCCTAATTAAACTTCCTTAAGAATACTTCATTTTAGACAAGTATGATCCCTGGACCACTAGTGGGCTGCAAACATCTTGCAAGTGGGCTGTGAACTCCCCCCCTGGGGGGAACCTGCCCATCCCACCCCCAGTGAGATTGGTGCACCAGTGCTGGGAGAGGGGGACTGTGGGGGCTGGATCCAGCTTGTAGGGGGAGAAAGTGGCTCTGCAAGCTACTGCTCTCCCTTTTCCTGACTGGGGGAAGGGGAATGGCCATGCAGATAACTGGTCACCTGGAGGTTTCCCCTACTGCTCCCATTGGCCAGAATCACAGGCAATGGGAGCAGTAGGGGCAGTGCTGAGAGCAGCAAGAGGCATAGAACCAGGTAAGCACCTTCTGTCTCCCTCATGTCCAGATCTCTGCATCTGCACCCCCACTCCTGGTGAGGCCTCCTGTCCCAGCCCACTCCTGCCCCAATTTTGTTGCCATGAGCTGTTGCCTGGTGGTCTGTGGAAAGGTCTGTTAAGAGTGGGCCACAGCCCACAAAGTTTGAGCCAATGATTTAGACAGAAGTCAGTCCTCTATTTTGCACTGTGGGCATTTTCAGCTTTCCTTGTGAATGCTAAAATAGTTTGGCAATTTTTAGCTGATGGTTCATTCCCACTACCTAAATATTATTCAGAATGACTAGTGACTTTATACCCAGCTTGATGCTGAGTGAGGTCAATGACCATCTTGAGAAGTAAAGATATGTCAAAGATACCTTACAACTTAAAAAACCTCATGGCCCAGGAACAGCCAAGAATGGCACAAACTGTCTTATTGCATGGCAGTCTGCTTTTCTTCCAAGAGTTCACCACACCTAATACAAGTGAAAGCTTTAGGAGCAAGTGCTGAGACTATTGCAATATTACTAGACAGAGGAAGTCTTACCAAATTAGAGATTGCTGATCGAGCATTATCCATGGTTTCTTCAAAACTCCGACAACTTCACTGAAGCCTGGAATTTCAAGTGTGCACATTAAGATTAGAATCCCCCCCATGATGCACATCAGCCTCACCAGTATTAATTAGTATTCCATCTGTCAAATTAAGAATGTGCTGTGCAATTTTAAAGCTATAGTAGCAAGTTTGTACTTCATGGGAAGAAGCAACTTACTAGAAGATTTACCTGGTGTTGCCAAACTCAACTTCAGAAAAATGACACATGTACATTTTCCCCTTGAATCATTGCTCTGGAGTGGGGTTGGAGGGGAGGGGGGACTAGAACGCAGGCTGTCCTGAGGGGACAACCTCAGCTCCATCATAGCAGCTTGGCACCAGGTGAGACATGCCCCCCATCCCATGGCCACTGCAACTCCAGCAGGCACAGCTGGAGGGGTGCATGTCCCCTGGCTGAGGTTAGTCTTCACCCACACTCCCCAGCCAGAATGAGGAAGGTAATTAATGTCACACGCCCTTGCTCCATGATGAAGGGAACGGAGTATTCTACATGAATCAATGGGGCTTCATCTCCTGTGCACCCTAAGGATGTCTGGGGGTTGGAGGCATGGGCTGCAATAGTCTGAGGGGGGCACCCCCCAACAAGCCCCTTTAACCTGTCTCAAAACCCAGTCACCAGGCAATCCCATTCCAGGCACATCCAAACCATGACCTTATCATAGCCTTGCTTTAAGTTAAGAAACTGTATTCCAGGTTTGGTACTCTTACATGGCAAGAGCCAAGATGAGATGGTGTGTGAGCCACCAGTGGGGGTCTCCCACTGCCCAAGCATAGCAACCAGCATAGTACTATCTGTAGCCCAGCCCAGCAGGACAGTTGCTGAGTCATGTAGGCAAAAGACCCCCAACCTGTCCAACAGGTTGAGAGCAGGGAGGGAGACAGACCCTAACCCTAGGGTCTGAGGCATCCTGGCCCCAGTCCCTGTAGCCACATCACCTGTGGGCTGTATTGTATTCTGGAAAAAATAAACCCCTCTATTCTACTGGCTGGTGGAGACTTCCTGCTGCTACCGGGCTGCAGGACTGGGAACCCCTGACTGCAGTCACAAGGAGTTCTTGAACAGACTCAAATACAAGCAGATTTCTGGGCCTATAATTTAATTACTAAACTAGGCAAGACCAAATGATTACACTAAGATTTAATATTTTAATAGGATAAAAAAGATTATCTTCACCTGGATCAGTATGTGCAATGTTTATTCTGGTTTGTGCACTAAAATCTCACTCAGGTCAGTATTAACACTCCTGCAGGTTCCTTCAACAGCATCCTCATTTGAAGGAAGGATGCAACAAGTGAAACAGTGATGAATTCTGCTAGCCTCCTAATGGGACACTCCCAAGTTTAAGTGCTTAAATTTCAGGGATGTCAAAATCAAGTCATAGCTAAACCTTTGTATTTTCTAAATACAATTAGACCATGGGTTCCCAAACTGTGGGGGTGTGCCCCTGGGAAGGGGGAATTAAGAAATCCCAGGAGGGCATGAGACAATTCAGACTAAGTTTTGCTGCTATTTTTAGGCCCCAGTCAGTTTTTTGCTCAAGTTTTGCTGCCATTCGGGAGGGGGGGTTGTGAGGGTGCATGATGCTGAAAAGTTTGGGAACCACTGACCTAGACTATATTGCCACACTTCCTTCCTATAGCCAAGACCAGGAAGAGGGGGTATCAGTGCTCCCTCTAATTTGTGTCCAGGTGCAGAAAGTGCACAAAGATGGAGGGGATACATCACGTAAATGAAAGATTCTACATATGGACAGTGCTGGCAGACTGGGGGAGCAGGCTGCTCCAGGGAGAGAGAGAGAGGACTATGCTGAGCCTCACTGCAGCAGCATGGGACCAGGCTGCCCTAGTTCTAGTGGGCATAGCTGGAGGAGAAGTGTTATCCCAAAGCTGGGGCAAGTCCAGGCAAAGTATGGTGATGGCCTGGGAAGGTGCATTCCTCTGCCAGCCCCAGCAATTCTACTGGGGCAGAACATGCTGAGTAGAACAGGGGCTGTGTGAGGGCCCTGAGTCTCTGCAGGGCTTGTTAGGCAGCTGTGCAGCTTAGCAATCTTAGATTGTGAATCTCAAAACTCCTTTGTCCTGGAGCTCTTAGAAAAGCAAATTCAATATTTAGACACGTTAGTGAACTAATGACCATGCAGGGGGAAATACCAGTATTTTTGTACTGATTCCTAGTGATGAAGCCATAGTCATAACCAATCTTATCTACCGAGTACTGCCCCAGCATTGTTAGGGGAATCACGCTGAGGCATTTGTATGCTTGTTTTAAAGTCTAGTAATGGCAGCAAGCAGCATGCTGACAGAAGACAGACTGAGTCATGTTGCCTATCTAAAGTGTGCAACTAATAGCAACCCATGAAGTCTGGTTTTAAATGACTTGCCCAGCATCACAGAATATTGGCATGCGGAGAGTACCATCCTGGAGAACCAGATTCCCGTAAGTGTACCTAAACCATATTCTATTCTCCTACTTCATTCAGTAGGACTCTTCCTACTCCCCCCACAATGAAGCAGGTTCATTAGACCCGTGTCTCAACTTTATAAAGTACCTCTTTAAAAAAAAAGATACACACTCCCAGTTTCTACAGTACTCCCAGTATCTACAGTTTTCAGACACATGTCTACCATTGCATCACATTTGTTTAAACAACTTAATTATAGCAGGGTGGGCAAAGAAATTTGTGTGTAAAGTATACAAAAATAAAGCGCTAAAGAACAAATTCAATATCCCTCCATGTCTCCTCTGGAGTACCCTTAGGGGTACTTGTACCACTGGTTGAGAAATACTGCATTAGACAACTGCCTCACTATATACAACCTTTGTTTCAACTACACCAGACTAACATGGCTACATTTCTATCTATATACAATCTTGACTTCCAAGGTCACCATCTTATACTGATACAAGCTTCTGTAGAAAGTTAGTGTCTTTGTAACTAAAGATTGTATCAATGCATACAGAGGGCCAAATTAATGCTGCCTGGGCTTCCTTAATTTTAGCCCTTCTGAACTTGAGCTTGACTCCTCAATCTTAATGGTCTATCATTAGCTAGAGAGCTGAGGTGTTCAACCACTTCTGAAGCTTGCAGACTAGCCACACTCAGCTGGCCAAATGGAATCAAGAGACTGGACCTAACTGGGTTTCATATAAAGGGTCATAAACGGGAGAGAAGGGCAACACTAGGCCCTTTGAAGACTAAATGGAAAGGCACCAGAAGTTCCACACTGACTTGTGCCCCTGGCAGTCAGTCTGCAATAGGATGTAGACTGCATCATTGTAACTAGACCTGTGCATTAAAGCAATTGCTGCTTGAGTACCTCCAAAGGGCATTAATGAAGCATCTTAATGCTATTCTTACTAGAAGACACTGCATTTAGAGACTTGCTACACCGGCCAAAGAGCCTCTAAATTATTTAGGCCAGTCCCCCATCCAGAAGTACTAAGATCTTGTCAATTCTTTCTATATGGGCGCCAGCCCTTTGCAACTAGATCTCTCGTCCACACTATCGTACGACAACATCCACTTTGCTACCTGAACCCCCGAACAGTACTGCAAGGATTTCCCAGCACCTGGCTCATTGTGAGCAGGTCACAACCTTGCAACTGCAGTGCTAGCGCCTCATCACAAGGACATCAGTGAAGAGTCCTTCACACCCTATTACTGTAGCCAGACTCACTGGCTGTCAAGAGGTTTATTCCTGCCCCCGACTGGGCAGCAATGCCAGCTTTCTTCAGTTGCTTAGACCCTCAGAGACCTTCACGCTTGCCTCCATGTTGCAGCCGCCTCCTCTTGGGGGAAGCTCCCATAGGGCAGCCTTTGCTATGCATAGCGGTGTGGCCACCCACGGGCTGCCTGCACGGCCTCGGGCACGTTCCCGGCTCCCTCCATGTTGCAGCCGCCTCCTCTTGGGGGAAGCTCCCATAGGGCAGCCTTTGCTATGCATAGCGGTGTGGCCACCCACGGGCTGCCTGCACGGCCTCGGGCACGTTCCCGGC